CCAGCCAGCCTCTACAGTGCTTCCTTCAAACTTACTTTCATCTTCCTTCCTTCCTTCCTTGCTTCTTCCATCCTCCTTTCCTCCCTCCCTCTCTCTCTTTCTTTCCCTTTCTTTCCCTTTCTTTCTTTCTTTCTTTCTCTCTTTCTTTTTCATACTTTCTTTCTTTCTTTCTTTCTTTCTTTCTTTCTTTCTTTCTTTCTTTCTTTCTTTCTTTCTTATTGAAGTATAGTTAGTTACAATGTGTCAATTTCTAGTGCACAGCGTAATGTCCCAGTCTTGCATATATATACATATATTTGTTTTCATATTCTTTTTCATTAAAGATCATTACAAGATATTGAATATAGTTCCCTGGGTATACAGAGAAATTTGATTTTTTTAAACTTTTTTTACTGAGTTATAGTCATTTTACAATGTTGTGTCAAGAGAAATTTGATTTTTATCTATTTTTATATGTAGTGGTTATCTCCAGGTTTCTTTCCATCCTTCACAGGCTTTGCTCTCTCTGCTTGGAATGTCCTTCCTGGCCTTACAAAGTCCTTCTTCAACCAAGAGCCTCAGCAAATCTCACCTCTTCTATCCAAACTTCCTTCTCTCCCCAGACAGAGCTGATTCCTCTCTCAAGTGGCTCTTAAGGCACATGTCACCCTAAGTTGTAACTTTTTTCTTTTTTGCATATTGAGCTTCACTTCTCAGCTGTAAGTCCTCAGAGGCTGGAGACCCTTATTCTTTTTTGAAAGATCAAGAATATCGCTGTTCAATCAGTGGGATGAGGATCAGGGCAGAGGTAGCTGTGAATGCAGACTCAGCCTTGAGCCTCACCTGGGACCAGATAATGGACCCAGATGCAGAAGTTAAAAGTTACTGTACTTTTCTCCCAGCAAGTTGGCTCTTAAAGAGCATGAAGCAACCCACCTAAGCTCCACTCTCCTGCAATTTTAAAGACACAGTAAAGTACCAGCTTAGGGAACGGGAGGGAGGGTGGGGGGGCCATCACAAATAGCACCACAAATTCTGTTTTGGAACTGTATGGGAAATGTCATTAGGAAGATCTGAAACTTGTCCATGTTCCAGTGCAGAAGGGATGGGTGCCGAGTTCCTGGCATGCCTGTTCCTGCACGTTGGAAAAGACATTCCCTCTCCCAGAGTCTCTCCTGCAGGCCACGCAGCTGCAAGTCAGGAGGGCCCTGTGTTTAGCTCTGACACCTTGCATTTTGCTTCCAAGAAAGGTCTTAAGAAGGGAGCCTGGTAACAAAGGCCCCTCAGAAAGTCCCTGCCCTGTAGGGGTGGCTGGGCCCAGCAGGAGCAGTTAGGGGTGAATCCTCACCCCAGGAACCCACTTCAGGGCTGCTTGGCTCACTAACACCATGATCAGAATTCCCAAAGAGAATCGCCACACAATAGGTCTCTTTTACAGAAAATGTTACAGAAGGAAATGGAAAGAATATTTAGGTTTCTTACCTTACTTTCAGTAAGCGGGGGCTGGATTGGCTTTTCAGCTGCTATACCCTTAAAGACAGACAAGACAAAATAAGGTGTTATAAAAGCATCTTAGCAACTTGCATTCACAACATATTGGTGCTTATAATTAACCAATAACACTCAGAAAGTAAAAGTAATTACAGGTGACCTTGAAATAGCTAACCAAATAAGGTGGGTGTACTAAATTGTTTACCATGATTAATGATCCTCTGTATGAAATGCACAGAGCTCAGAAATGTCTGATCCTCAAATTTATTCACATCAACATTTATGTGCTTACAAATGTGCCAGGCACTGTGCTAGGAGGTAGAGATTCAAAGACGAAAAACAACAGTGGCTCTGTCCTCAGGGAGCCCACAGTCCACCAGAGAAAACAGATGTGTCAATCAACAACGAAAGTGCAGCACTGGCCAAGCCGCTGCAGAGGCATGTAGGGTTGCTGCGGGAGCACAGGGGTCTGTCCTTGCTGAGCAACTGGGCCTACTTTGTCCCCAAGACTGTAGAATGAAGTGCTTCCCAGATGAGCATGGAAGGAACATGGGTATCTACCGTCCTCGGTTAGCATCCCACCCTTCCATAACCCTCTGACAACTTCCCATGCCTCACAGGTCTTGGGAGCAGCTGCCAGTCAAGAGAGAGACCCACGTGGATTTCTTCATGATGGCAGCTAAAGGGATAAGGTGGGTGTACTAAATTGTTTGCAATAAACAGCCACCACAGTTCACCTCTCGGCTCTGTACCCATGCCCTCGTCTCTTCCCACAGTGACTCTGGGATTGGCTGTGTGACTTGCTTTGGCCAGTAAGACAATAGCAACATGACGCAAGTGGTGGCTTGAAAAGTGCTTGTGCTGGGGCTTGCCGTCTCTTGCTGCTCCTAGGACCCATTCTCGGTGGGTGTGAAGGAATGGAACTCAGAGCGACAGAGCGCAAGAGGAAAGCCCACGCTACAAGGAGGGTGAATGAGGTCTCTAGAAGGTGGCATAGCAGCCCAGAGACGTGCAGCCAGTCCCTGTAAGAATCCTGGGTAACCCATGCATCCTCCCTGTTGGGCAGTCACTACTATTCAGTACGTCTTGTCTTGCCTCACATAGAGCAGGTGCTCAATAAATGTTTGCTGTTCATGAACTTAAGAGCCATGCCCTCTTCTAAGCAGGCCCCAAATCAAAGACGCCCCATAGAAATCATGGTCCTAGGGAAGCTAGGAAAGCAAGAAAAGGCATCAAGTAACCAGGACAATCCAGGCGAGTTTTCCACATGCCCGAGGCCCAAACAGTCTAAGTCTTAACACTGATACCAATGAAAGCAAACTTCTTGCTTAAAGTGCTCTAACGAAACCTCAGTGGCAGGTCTACATGAGAATCTGGAGTAGGACACAGTGAAAAATGCTGTCTGGGTAACACACAGCGAAAAAAAATGTGACAATGAATATATATATGTTCACGTATAACTGAAAAATTGTGCTCTACACTGGAATTTGACACAACATTGTAAAATGACTATAACTCAATAAAAAAAAAGTTAAAAAAAGATGCTGCCTGGGACTTGGAATAGCCTGGGAGACCAGGAGAAAGAAACTGAACGGACCATGTAATTTTGGGTCCTTCCTTAGATTCAGAGTAGCAATTCAACATCCAGAGCACACCATTTCTAAGCTTGGAACAACTTGAAATATAACTGTCCTAAGGAAGTTACAGTCAGAGCGGCACGCCTTGCCCTGAGCCTTGAGTTTGACGGAGGTAGAGAGAGCACAGGCTTGGAGTCAGACATCTGAGTTTCTGTCCTGGATCTGCCACTGACCAGCTGTGCAAAATTAGGCGAGTAATTTAACCTCACGAAGCCTCAGTTTCCTCATCTGTAAAATCGGAATGATATCTACTTTGTTGGGCCTTTGTGAAAATTAAAGGAGACAATGTAAAGGGCAGGGGCCAGCACAGGGTACTGCTCATGAAGTGTTAGCAGCGGCAGGAAAGATCATGGACTTATACGGAGGCGAAGGGCAACGACTCCAGCTTACCCCTGCTGCTTGAGATTTCCAACTTTTTGGTTTTCAGCTTGTGTCTGAGACCCAAAGTCGGTGTTCCTCTCTCTGCCCTCAGGTAAAACAGAGGAGCAGCCCTAGACCCACAGATTGACCCTAAACTCCAAGTGCCAGTGCCCAAGCCTGCTGACTGCCACGTGGCGCCTGTGACACTGGCTGCTTTGTGCCACCTCTCCGAGGCTGGTGGCCTGTTTTAAATGCTCAGTGGCATTCTGCCTGGGGCTGGCAAAGCTGGGCAGGGGCACAGGAAGGGGACAGTGGGGACCAAGAGAGATGGCAATGACATTCCAGACAAACCTCCTGGTTCAGAGGGACTCATCCTTCCCCGGAGCTGGCAAAACTTGTCTCACCATGGTTGTGGGATAAAGGAGGAAAAGAGAAGGGTGAGGCGTCAGAGGTTCAGGACCCACAGAAAGTCCCACTATATCCAAATAGGCACCTTGGATTCTGCAAGAGAGACTAAGATTGAGCTTCCACTTGGGTGTTAGAAATGGGATTGAATCCCGTTCTCTCAGTGGCCTGGGGGCAGGAAGAATGTGTCTGGGCTGCACTTTGCAAAGCCCTTCTCAGAGATGATGAAGGGGGCATCTTAAAACCTGCAGGACTGAGGGGAAGTTGCACACCTCACTGCCCCTCCTCCCAGAGCCCAGGCCTCTCACCTGGAGGTCAGCGCAGATCCTCCCCACTTTTAGATGCTTTTTGGAAACTAATTTGAGATCCAAGAACTGACCTGGGGAGAGTCTTCACAAAGCCAACAAGCCAGGCCACAGCAGTGACTGAGACGCTGTTCTGAGAGAGTTCTATCCCCAGGGCACTGGCCCTGCATTTGTTATTGGGCTTAAACCCCATTGTGCCTCAATTTCCCAAACTGTAAAAAGGGAGCAACTGTAGTCGTTGCTCCAGAGGGGCCATCTGCAGCACAGGTTAATTTAAAATGAGCCAGCTACTCAGAAGAATATAACTTATCCTGTAAACATTTTCCAGGGTGTGTTTCAACATCCAGGGGAGAAGCAAAGCTCTCTGTAAGAGGCAAGAATGGGTTTCTGCTTTTACATGGCAACGTAAAATCTGGCCAAGGGAGGCTTCACTTCGAGAGAAAAAGCCACGCTCCTGTTTTCATCACACATTCATGACTTTGCAGCATGACTGTCTAAGAAGTGATCAACCAGAGGCGTTACATGAATGATCTTCTGGGCTCCTGTTGGTCAGGATCTATCAGGCCCAGGTGACAACTAAACTGCACAGAGAGTTCGTTGCTGGATCTGAGGGGCTCCTGTCTTGTTTCATAACAGGTCCCTGCCGTGCTATTGGTCTGGGGCTTTCCTCCTAAAAAATGGACCCTCACTTAACACCTGCCAGGGAGAGTGGGCTGAGTGGGCAGTGGTGCATGTGACCATGTGAAGTCAGAGAAAAGCTAGAAGAGATCTTACCCATCCTCGCTGGCAGTTCTGCCCCATGGTGGGAGGACAGCGGTTACGCCCGGGGCCTTTCTTCTCTTCTGTCCTCAGCAGCAGGGGCTGGGATGCCTGGAGAAAAGCAGAACCCAAAGGAGACCACATCAGGGCCTCGTTCCTGTCCTCATCAGCTGGGAGGCTAAAGATCCAGATACTGAGGACCAGGGGCAGAGTGCAGGCCCCTGTTTCCAGAAGGATCTGTAATCCCAAGTAAAATATCATAAGGTTTCTGGCAGGATATTATTCCTGGAGCCTAGTCTGCAGGTGGTGCCTCCTCTGCTTACAAAGAGGTCTGAAATATGCTGCTTTGGGGAGGAAATCAAATAGGAATGGAAAGTAGCCAAGACAACTAAAAGGTCAAAATTTCAGAAGTGTGATTTTTGTCACAGTGTCATTCCTTCCCTGTCTAATTTAAACAGGTTAGGGAGTATCTCTGGGTAAAAGTTACTTTTCTCATTATAAAAGCAATCAATGCAAACGCATCACAAAAAAATGCTAGAAAATACAGGCAAGTAGTTTAAAACATTTAAATCAGCTTTACTCCTACAGAAATAAGCTCTATTAACATGTTGATATCTACCCTTCCTTATATTTTTCTCCAGGTAACTACATACCATAACAACACAAAAATGGAACCCTGGTATAATTTTAGAAACTACTTTTTTCCATGGGATAATATATTATGAAAATCTTTTCATGCCGACTAATCAAGAGCTCATTTTTTATTGGTTATACTGGGAAGAGAGCTTATAATTCTTATACAGAAAGGCTAACTCAAGAATCCCTAGTCAATAAATGTCAAATAGCCTAAGTCAGAATTCATAGCAATTTTATTAAGTCTGTACCATATCGTGAACAGCTTACAAATATTATGTGATTTGCCTAACGATTAGTGTGCTGCAGCAAATCCAAATGCCTCCCTACGATTTGAGGCCTTTTCAGTTCTAAGAGGATGAGCCAAGAGTCCAGGCTTCCAAACACTGGCGTAAGCTGGGCATCCAGCCACTGAATCCCAATGGCTCAGGGTTGGTGAATTCTGCCAGAACTGGTCTTGGTGGGATACCTGGCACCCCTGACACCCCAAACGTTCCCTGGCCCAGCTCAGAGACGCAAACAAAATTTATGGGGTTGCTTTGTTATTTGTTTACCTACACAAAATTTGACTTAAAGCTCAGACTTAATTCCTCCATCTCGAGAGTTTCCAGAAGAGAGAAAACACAGAACTCGGCTGTGAAATATTCTTCAGAGAACTTAAAAATGTCAGTACTTGTCTGATATTTACTCCCCCCTCTCCCATTAGAGGACACTCTCCCAGGGTGCAGGGACTTTGTGTGTCCTCAGTCGTGCACACAGTAGGCACTGAATGCGGCCTCGAGGTCAGGCTGCTTGGCTTGGAGCTCTGCTCAGCCACGAAATAGCCTGGACTCTGGAAAAGTTACTTAGCCACCCAAACCTCGGTCTCCTCAGCTGCAAAGTGGGGCTAATGACTGTAATAATAGAGCCATATAAAATGAGATGTGCGTACATAAACAGAGCACTTAGAACAGTGCTTGGCACTAAGTATTCAAAATATGCTAACTATCATCCTTATTGACTGATAAGCGAATTTACTGAAATTCAGAACAGTGTGAAAGCAAAAACAGCTTTTACTGAGAACCATAAATGGCTTATAATTGGAGGCACAGTCTATTCCAAGGTGGTTTAAAGCTGTGGGTCCCCTGGGAAAACATGGGACAATTGGTTGCGGTGAGGGAAGACAATAGCAGAACTTTTATTCATGACTTAAAATCTTACCCTATAACTTTTTAAGACTATTCTTTATAAAGTACACATTATTTTAGTGAATTACTAAATGTATATAACTTTTTAAATTGAGATACAATTCACATACCAAAAGATTCACCTTTTAAAATATGTATATAATTCGGTGTTTAGTATATTCATAAGGTTGTACAACCATCATCACTATCTAATTCATCATCCCAAAAAGAAGCCCTGTACCCTCGGCAGTCACTCCCTACTCTCTCCTCTCCCCAGCCCCTGGCAACCACTAACCTCCTTTCTTCTCTGCGGATTTGCCTGTTCTAAACATTCCACATGCGTGGAATCCTACATGTATATAATCTCCAAATAATTAAAATACATGCATTTGGGAATATGCTTGCAAAGGTATTTCACTAATGGAGTACATGACTGAAAAGATTTGGAGAGCCCTGGCTGGGCATGCAAAGCCTTCTTGGTTTTACCCCAGTTCCTCTGCTAGTTTGCTCTACAGACGCTCCATCAGTCTGGCGCTACTGCAATTCCGACCTGGCATGGTCCAGAGCAGAACATGATCTAAGCACAGCATACGTTTTGCTTGGTAACTTACGATTTAACTTTGTCTGTATAAAAAGATGTTCTCCTAATTATGCTGGATAGGCTAACAGTTAAAAGAGTAATGCAGCCTGGGACCTGAGTTCGATCCTTGCTCTGCCACCTACTGAACTTCTCTGAGCCTAAGTTTCCTTGTCTGTGAAGTGGGGATAATAACAGGTGAGAATTAATTGTCTTTTCCTTTTTTGCATTAGAATTTGGCCTTAGATTCATGTTCTAGCTCTGTTCCCCTGCTTACCTGGTGGGGGCCAAAAGTATTTCTGAGCAACATGTCATGATAAAGATGATTCTTGCTTGGAGATTGCTTCTGAGTTGGAAGAACTGTAAGTACTAGATGAAATGCCATAGCTTTGGGCTTCCCTGAGAGAGGTGACTCTTGTTCCCTATAGGAACCCTGGAAGATGCGCCTATGGAGTTGTTTTTTGTTGTTGTTGTTTGTTTTTTGCGGGGAGGGAGGTAATGAAGCCTATTTATTTATCTATGGAGATATTGGGGATTGAACCCAGGACATTGTACATGCTAAGCACATGCTCTACAAATTGACCTATACCCTCCCCCTCTATGGAGTTGTTACAAGAGACTCTGGGACAGGAGGCTTTTTAAGCCAGAAGGAATCTTGCACCTGCCCAGTGAGATCTTGTCTCCTCCCATCTGTGGATTGCTGCACGGACTCCCTCAAGAAAGGAGCACCCAGACTTGCCCAGCCGGTGAGCTGTGGTTCCTGTCTTACAGCCTTGCACGCAGAATGGGGCCAAGTGTGGCTGCAACAGTCTTCAAATTTGAAGGTTTTGTTGAGTCTAGGAACGCTCCTGATAGGTGTGGCAGATTAGGTAATGCCGAGAGCCTAGCATGCAGTAAGTACTTAATAAGCAGCAACTGCAAGTACTAAATAAATGGCTATTATTATTATTACTATTAATGTTTTATTTTATCTACCCTTACCAACTCATAGTGGGCAAGAGATTCCAACCCTGAGAAGCCCAGGTTGGAGTATCAGGCTGCCAGATACAGCCCCATTATGAAACACGAGAACACACCTCTCTATAATTCTCAAAGGAGAAATTATACAAATGTCCATTGACCAAGTATTCATATAGCACCAACTGCATGCTAATCTTAGTACTAGATGTTAGGAGCACTGTAGTGGGAAAGATGGACATGGTCTCTGTCCTTGCAGAGCTTAAAACAATTAAAGAGCAGTTATACCGTTTTGTGATGCGGAAAGAGTGAGGAACTAAATTTTGAATTATGTCTATTTAGGAATCCAAGAAGACTTCTCAGAGTAAGAATACCAACCTCCAGCACGTGGCACAGAATCCTAGGTTGAATAAAGATCGGAGGCCTGGCACTCACCCTCTCCCCCTGCTCACTGTACATACACACGGCAGATTGTTGTAACCATGGACAGGCCTCTCTGTATCCATGCCCTTGGGTAGTTCCCATCCACAAAGGCCTAGGCTTGGCCAATGACTTGCTTTGCCCAATTGGACAACAGCAACTATGCCACAAGAGAAAAACTTGAAAAGTGCCTCCATACGAAGGGCTTACTCTCTCTGGCTGCTCTCAGGACCCCTCCCACTGCTGCCATGGGAAGAAGCTCCAGCTGGCCAACTGGGTGATAAGAGGCTACAACAGGGCAGAAACAGCCTTTCCAGCTGAGTCTCTTAGGCCAGCCAGTCCCCAGCCAACCAGAAAGCTGACTGAGATGCAGGCGTGAGCCTGACTGAGACCAGTACATCTGGCTCAGATCTGCAGAACCACTGTATATTGTGATTTACAGTAAGAAATATGTGTTTGGTCTTTGGCCCTGTTCCTGGCACCTAGCTCCTAAAACCCTTGTAATTTCCTAAGTGATAAAAGCAATGGGAGAATCTTTTATTATAATATTTGGTCTTTTGTCCTCAAATAGCTCCAATTCCTGAAATAGCTCCAGGGTGATAAAAGGGAATGTCTTGTTATTCATAACAAGTGCCTTTCAACCACACCTGAGTCTATGTTAATAAGGATAGGATTGGTTGCCAGGGGAATCAATCCTGTGATTGGAGGGTTGGAATTTCAGCCTTGGCAGCCTCTGGCCCAACTCTGGGGAAGGGACAGGGGCTAGGGGATAAATTAATCACCAATGCTCAGTGATTTAATCAACCGTGCCTGTATTTTGAGGCCTCCTTGAAAACCCAAAAGGATGGGGGTTCAGAGAGTTTCCAGTTTGGTGAACACGTGGAGGTGCTGCGAGGGAGGTGTACCCACAGAGGGCATGGAAGCTCTGCACCCCTTATCACACACCTTGCCCTATGCATCTTTTCCATCTGGCTATTCCTGTGTTGCATCTTTTTATAATAAACCGGTAGGCAACTAAGTAAACTGTTTCCCTGAGTTCTGTGAGCTGCTCCCACAAATTAATTAAACTTGAGGAGGGGGTTATGGGAAACTCCAATCTACAGTCAATTTGTCAGAAGCACAGGTGACAACCTGGATTTGTGATTGGCACTGAAGTGGGGAAGTGGGGAGATGGTCTCCTTAACCTGTGGGGTTGGTAGATGGTGTCAGAACTGAGTTAAATTATAGGACATTCTATAATTCTAGTGTCACAGAATTGCTTAG